TAGTAATCTACGACTAATAGCCACATGAAAGCAGTCTGGTTTGTTTGGTAAATTATAGGGTACCTACAAACCTACAACCAGGCTCAAACTAGAGAAGAAGCAAAGCTGGGTAATACTCCTACGATTGTACGGAGCACCAATCACTGCATGCCCTAAACTGACAAATAAAACCACACCTACCACTCTTGATTTCAGATTTACTAGCATTTCTTGAAACACCAAGTGTGGAATAGAAATCCTGTAAATTAAAATATCAAATCCATGTCAGGAAACTGGATTTTCTAATAATACCAGCAAAGAAGAAAAGCAAATGAAGTAACTCACAGCATCAGCTCTGACAATGAACCTTGAACTCCTTCGATGGCGAAATCTCGGTGATGGTGCATGGTTAAATAGTCGAGAAGATGTCCGTGATTGTAAACTAGCAGTAGGTGATACAAGGTGTTTAAGCCTGCCTCCACTACTGCACAAAAAGAGATATATCATCTTCAGTTTACTCAGAAATCTTGCCTTTTTATAATATCAATGTGTCCTTTATTTTAGTATTCCTAGTACATCTCACTGATCAGAACACATTCACATACCCACTTTTCGACACCAGAAATCTTGGATCAGCATAAATAACTCTTGTAAGTGCAGGTGACCTGGGCAACAGCTGAGGTTTTTCCCCAAGTTTGGGGGCCAAGGTACCTCCAAACTGTAGCAACGCCATTGAAATACTTGCTGGATACCCACAAAGCTTCAACCTTCAATATACTAGCTGCCATTTCACAGAGATAGAGTCAGGTGAAGCATAACAAAAGCAATACACAAAAGAACGATATTCGAGTAAGTTCACAATTCTATTCAAAAACGTTCTCTTCTAAATTTTAATCAACCAACACATATCGACTGTCATTACTCCTTACTCCTTTAAGAGGATGAATAGGGGCGAGGGTGTGTACAACTGTACATACATATGTACTGCTTGCAGGAACTTTTTCAGAGATCATGGGCCTGCTGAGCAGCCATTGCTACGGTTGTGGATGCACACCGCGGCCACAGCTAGTAGCTTAGGTACAGCTGCAGCAGTGGCTGTCGAGCAGGGCGTGTATTATTTGCATGTATTTATATGTGGGATTGATCATCTCTTGCATGTATACACTTTTTTAGGTTCGAGGATAATTAGTTTTGCATTTTTGAGCTTACATACCATGGTAAATTTGTTATACATAAGAATTCGGCCATAACGTGCGAAGCTGGCAAACACTACGCTATATTATCTTCGAGGTGGAGTTGGTGGTTGTAATCGTGTGCTATGCATCCTTACCGATCCTAACATATCATATATGCTGATACATGGACACCATGAGATGCTCGGGTTTATAACATTCGGTATTATTTTTTTTTCTTTTTTGCTGCCGAATTTACCAACCACAAAAATATATAATACCTACCGGGCTGCAGCAAATCAGGACAAAAGCCTCTTGAAGAACTGCGGCAGTAGGGCAAGAAGCGGCGGCGGCACGGCGCTGTCGGGCGTGACCACGCGAGGGAGGGGCGGGCGCGGGAATAGTAGGGCTAGGGATTTGGTCGGGGAGCTGTGGACGACGGGACACGGGAAGAGAGGGGAGGAATGGGGGATGGAGAGAGAGAAGAAGAAGTGGCACCTCGTCTCGAGCTGTGGAGGTCTTCGCAGCCACTCGGGGAGGGAAGTGAGCCTCCCGGAGATAAGATTTGGGCAAAGACACGCGTGTAGGGGTGGATGTCGAGCCAGCTCGGCTCGGTCTAGCTAGTCTCGGCTCATTACCCTAACGAGCTAGAAAACCAAGCTAGGCTCGGCTAGTTGTCTAGCTCGAGTGGGCTCGTTTGGCTCGTGAGCCAAAGAAAGCAGGGCAAGCAAGACGACGAGGACGCGCGGCCACACGGGAGTAGGGGTGTCGCCCGCCGGGTAACTAGGCGATTCGCGCGAGGAAGAGGCGAGTTGGGGTCTTAGGGTGGCCGGAGGCAAGTAGGGAAGGAGACGGCGTGACCTACTGACCTTCCCGATAGCCAGCGTGAGGAGCGGATGGCAGCTGTTGACGTTGAGGATGCGAGGTGAAGCGGGGAGACCGGCGGCGAGAAAGGGCACAACCGCGCGCGCAAGGAAGGGTGGCGCTACGAGCTACGACTCCTCGACTCCTGGGCGGCGCTGTCGGCCACTCGGCTTGAGGATAAGCGGCGCTTCTGGGAATCGTTGAGAAAAGGAACGGACAGGTAGGGAGGGATTTTAGGGTTAGACTATTGGGCTTAGTTGGGCTTGCTGTTTCATGACCTGGCACCGTTGACTCTACTTGTGGGCTTGAGCTGTGACCTTGTCTCGTGGGCCTTGTTGGACTTATGGTGTGTGGTTGAGCACGCTGTTTGTACTGGGCCTTGGCTCGTTTGGCTCGCGAGCAGCTCGTGAGCTAGCTCGAGCCGGCTCGTTATAGCTAACGAGCTAACTCTAGCTCGGCTCGTTAACAAATCCAAACGAGACGAGCCGAGCCGAGCGAGCTAACGAGCCACGAGCTTTTCGTCCAGCCCTACACGCGTGGCCTGCGCCTTGGCACCGTTGGCCTCCATCTGGGCCGTTGGCTTCACATCCAGCGGCGGATTGGTGTCTGGGCACGGTTTTTGCGTTTTGAGAGAAATGCGTTCCACATGTTTCCGACGAGGAGTATTCCAGAATAATTCCTACATCTAGAATAATCATGTTCATTAGTGTTGTTTTTGTAAATTGTAATTGCTTTTGTATGAATGATTTGTGTATATTTTGTATAGTAAACGTTTTTCTCATCTAGAGTCAACGTCACTTCCTCATCATGTTTATTTGATTCACTACTAAAAAACCATTTTTACTTGCGGCCGAAATGGGTTTTCGCTGGAGGTTGCTGTACCGCTAGCAATCAAAGGCCAGTGAAAATAATACATTTGTGCTGGCGGGCAGTTGACTGCCAACGAAAATCAATTTTCGCTAGCAACCACGCTAAGACAGCTGCTAGTGAAAATCATTTTCGCTGCCGCCAAGCTAAGACCACCACCAGCGAAAATAGAATTTCACTGGCGGCAATGTTAAAATGCCCGCTAGTGAAAACATTTTCTTTGGAGCAAAAAAGTAATTCCAATCACAAATCCCAATCCCCAATCATCGATTGCTGCCATCGAGCTGTGTCGGTGAAGGAGGGAGCTCGCTACAGGCTTCACCGTGGCTGCCGTGGTTGCCGTTGTCGCTGCCTACCGAGCCACGGTCACTAGGTGGCCTCGACCCACTGCATCATCAGGAGAGGGCAGGGGGTTGGAGGATCTTTCGTCGTCCCGACAGCTCCCGCAGCCATTCGGTGACCGGTCGATGCGGCTCCGCGGTGGTGGCTCGACAAGAAAGGAGGTTGTCCACCACCTGGACTGAAGAGGGAGGAGACCGACCATTGCCGCTACCGAATCCACCGTCTGCACGCTTCCCTTCTCTACATGTGCCTCTCCTGTGACTGAATCCGCCACCCGCGACCATCCGGCAGGCCGGATCCGCTGGCCCGCTCCAGTCGATGCGGCTCCACGGCGGTGGCTTGGCGAGGAAGGAGGACGTCCACCGTTGTCGTCGCCGTCCCTGCCTTGGTTGCCGAGAGGAGGAGGAGAGGCGCGTGCGTGGGGGTCGAGGAGAGGAGGAGGAAAGGCACAGGGGGGAGAGGGCCGGGCCGGGGTGAGGAGGAGAGGCGTGGTGAGAGAGGGGGTGAGGAGAAGGAGTCGAGGAGATGGAGTTAGGAGATGGAGAGATGGGGGAGCGGGGAGAGGTGGGGGTGAAATTTTAATATAGTGAAGTTTTTTTTTTTTTTTTTTTTTTTTTTTTTTTTTTTTTTTTTTTTTTTTTGCGGGAGGTGGCCATTAGCAGCCACGAGCGAAAATATATGATTTTCGCTAGCGGTAAGTTAAGAGGTCCGCTTTTAAAAATACCTCTATTTTTGCAAGCGGATCTTTTAAGTAACCGTTAGCGAAAATTGATTTTTGCTGACGATTGGTAACCGGAATCCCTATCATTTATTTTCACAAGCGTATTTGCATAAAACCCATCAGGAAAAACGAAAGGGTTACGCTAGAAAAATGATTTTTTAGTAGTGATTGACAGGGATGGAATGCATAAACAGGAGAACGTGTGAATACTGAATAGGTGTCAAGCAGGAGATTCTCTTAAAGCTACTTCCTCTGTAAAAAATCAAATTAGGGATAAATCTGACCACATGTGAATATCGTGATTTTGTTTACGCAGAGAGGTATGGCAGATACTTGAAGTAACAGGCATGGAATGCTTCTTATGGTCCGTTCATGATAAAAATAGCAAAACTACAAATATTTTGATCAAGATATTACAAAACTGTAGAATTAAGATGTTCTATAAAAAAACTATAGATTTAGTATGAAATTTATCAGAAAACTATATAGTTAAAGCAAGTATAAAAAAGTATAGATTTAAAAATAAAATTAGCACAAAACTATATATTTTAGAGTTTAAATCCCTTGTACTACTATTATGTTGAAACTATGAGCGTTATAGTTTTGCAATTAAATTGGTGCTAAATTTGTTTTTTATGATAATTTTATTACTAAATCAATAGTTTTGTGATACTTTATTCTAAATGTCTAGTTCCATGATAAATTGAATGCTATATATATAGTTTGTAATATACTAACTCAAATATGTAGTTTTACGATAATTTAGTCAAAGCATCTATACTTTTATAAAATTTACTCTTATAAAAATGAAATCGGCAATCATTTTGTATCTTGTTGTGCACATTGCAAGATACATAAATATGAAAATGTCCACTCTCAATTAATACTCTAAACTAATTTTCTGTTCTATATATTTGCCTCTTGCATAAAAGAATGTCTATATTATTATGTATTCATTTTCTTAGGAATATATTGAGGAGTACTTTGGATGAAGATGAAAGCTAGGACAATTAATGTTTTTGTAAGAATGATTTGTGCATATTATATATGAAACCTTTTCTCATCCAAAGTCATCACTTTGTCATGTTTATTTGATCCGACATGGACAGAATGCGTAAACAAGAGAACATTATCAGTACTAGTATCAGGCGGGAGATTCTATTGAAGATCTGTGGCAGCTACTTGCGGTAACAAGGCAAAATGAGATGATTTCCGTATCCATATTTCTGTATTTATTTACAAGATATACATATGTGAAAAACGTCCACGGTCAATTACCCCCTCTAGGTTAAAAATAATTATCGTTTTAAACATAACTAATGTTAAACTTTAAAAAGTTTAACTCTGAATAACTTCTAAAGTATTTTGATTAGATGTACTTCAATAAAATCATATATTACTAATACTTCTATAATATTGTAATAGAAAATAGTGGTAAAAATTAGTTTTCGGAGATCGTGTTGTTATGTCCGAAACGCCAAGAATTTTTTAAAATGGAGGGAGTATCCTAAATGCCAAGTGTTATATCCAAGTATTTTGAACACTCTAAACTAATTTTCTGTTATATATATTTACAATCTCTTGCATAAAAGCGTGTTCATCATTTACTCATTTTCTTACTAATAGATTACCAATCTGAAGTTGATGCCAAAATTTAGGAATCTCGCTTCCAATAACCCTTTCAGCCTCTATCATCAGTATTTTCTTGGGCAATAGATTAACCCTCACATATGCAGTGAATTTCCCACTAGTTGCCTCTACATGAACTCCTCCACACCATTCTTCCTCTTTCCTCCTCACTACAAGCCCTTCCTCTCGCCCTAGCTTCTCAACTTTGTCCAGAACTGACTTGGAATCCCCACCCGGCAAGACGAATCGAACTCGATCTGGCAATGGACCGATCAACCCGCTTAGATCGCATCCCGAGGCGAACCCGATTATGTCGAAAGCATTTAGCTCCATTGCTTGCTCCAATTCAGCCTCCCATTTCTCTACCTCTGGTTTAGAATGAGAGGACGCAGCTTGGATCATACCGAATGATGATGAACTCCCATCTTGTTGGAGCCAAGGGTGATCGAAGATTTCACCAATCTTGATGCGGGTATCGGGTTCCGGGTCAAGCATCCGCCCGATAAGGGAGCGGAGCTCCTGCGAGCACCATTTTGGACACCGGAACTTAGCGGCGCAGATCTTCCGGTACATGGCCATGAGGTTGCCGTCGTTGAACGGCAGGTAGCCGGCGGTGAGCACGAAGAGCACGACGCCGCAGGACCACACGTCCGCCTTGCTGGCGTCGTACCGCCGCTTCAGGAGGATCTCCGGCGCGACGTAGGCCGGGGAGCCGCAGTGCGTGGCGGCGAGGCCGTCTGTGGCGCCGAGGTGCTGGTCGGCGTCGGCGAACGCGCTGAGCCCGAAGTCCGTGAGCCGGAGGTCGCCGCGCTCGTCGAGGAGGAGGTTCTCCGGCTTGATGTCGCGATGGAACACGCCGAGGGAGTGCGCGTGCGCCACCGCGGAGGCCAGCTGCGCGAACAGGCGGCGCGCCGCGGGCTCGTCGTAGTGGCCGCCGCCGCGGCTGTCGAGCGCGGACAGGACGCTGCCGCCGCTGGCGAGCTCGAGGACGAGGTAGACGGTGGAGCGGGTGGCGAGCACGTCGAGGAGCGCCACCACGTGCGGGTGGCCGCGCACGCGGCGGAGCGCGGCGACCTCCCGCTCCACCTCCACGCACCTCCGCGCCGCGGCGGCCGCCTCGGGCGAGCGGCACGACGGGTGGTGGTGCGGCTGCTGCTGCTTGCGGATGGCCTTGACGGCGACGTGGGCGCCCGTGCGGGCGTCGCGCGCGCGGTACACCTTGGAGGAGGCGCCCTGGCCGAGCACGCGGCCGAGCTCGTACCGGCCCTGCAGGACCTTCTTCGAGTAGCCGTCGCCGGTGGCCGCCGGCGACTCGTCGTCGCCGGCCGGTGGCATCTCCGGCGTCGTGAAGTTGGAGAGGAAAGTAGTGGTGTTTGGTTTGATGATTTGATGGAGAGTAGTTTGTGTCGGTTGATTCTCTGCTCGTGGTCTCGTGGAGTCTCTGTGCTAAAAGGCCTTTGTACAGTGGTTAGCTGGGCTGTGTACCTGGACACAAAGTATTGCTATGTGCACCATGTTAAAAAAGGCAGAATTAAAAAGTGCAATTATATATACAGGCACTTACAAACACAGCATAACATCAAATTGTTCACATGACTTATTTTATTGGTAACAATAATAAGCACACATATTTATTGTGTTGTATGCATTTGTAGCTACAACATTGATACAGTTCGATCTAAAAGTTTAAGTAGATAGGTAAAGATGAGCAGTTTACTTATATTCCAACAACATTCCCCTTGCGCGGATTAATCAATAACCTCTATCTCTGATACCATATTAACATATTAACAGCAATATCAGTTGGGACATATTTGCAAATGAAAAATAATTTATTAATAAAAATATTACGTGTTTTTAGCGATCTAAAAACAAAGGCTAAAAAATAAACTTCGATGAAAAACCTCTAAATCAACTTCAAATTTAAAGTTGAAAATTTAAATTTTTATTAATAAGTATAAGCATAAAAAAAAAGATGAGGTTACTTATCATTTCAATTCAAAAGCTTAATACCGATCCGAAAATACAGGTTATGTACTGATATATATTCCGACAAACAGTAATTAAGCATTGCTGCCCTATAATCAAGAAGGGTAATGATGCTACACGATGGTGCAAAAATATATTACTAGTGTTTTTTTTTTCTTGGTACCTTTCAAGCAATACTTATTAATAACTACTTGAGCTTGCTTGTCTTTGCCTTAGTTATAAGTAGCAGCCAATTTTGATTTCAGAGTTACTTTAAAGTTGTTTTGGTCGATTTAGTCACTCAGTTGTGGTTTTTGAAATGCTAAAAATGCAAAAAGTTTACCTAAAATGATCATCCGTTGCAATGATATCTTTGTTTCTATATAATTGATATCCACTAAGGAACATTAACTCATATAAAGCAAACACTTTCTAACCATTAGATTGCAATATTAGAGTAAAGATAGCAGTCGTTGGATAAGAAGATACATAGCCACTAGAATAACCATGTCGTTATTTTTTAAGAGAACATGTTGTTATTGTTTTTCATTCATTCCTAAGAATTTTCACATATCAGCTCTAAATATATTAAAAATATTTATCCACAATTAATATTTCAGCTTGATTTTTTCTTCTCAAATTCTCACCTCAAAGTGTAGGCTTTTATCTAGTTAAACAAAAATACCTCTCAAACATATATAATAATAATGTGCACGAAAATGGATTTGTGTGTGTGTTTCATTTTTCCCTTTCGGATAAATAATTGAATAGAGAAACAAGGTGCTCAGGCCCTGGTTTTTCTCTGGATTTTCTTGTGAAAGTCATGTGATGTCCCGTTGGATTGGTTGATTTGATATGCACCAGCTGGTACATTGAGATTTCAAGGCATGGAAGCCACAACTTGCAACTGCTGCTACCCTGCACTAAATTATCAGTTTGCCTTTTTAATCATAAAATTAGGAAATTGATTTTGTTGCCATATCTATAGATTGATTGGACTTCTTCTAACGTGATATAGAAATACTTTGTAATAATGGACTGCGGTTTTGTTATCTCAGATGCAGCAACTAGTTTATTCATTATGTAAAAAAAAATCATTTTCTGAATTTCATGATACTAGAGTTTTAATCAGTAAAGCATAACCAAATTATTCATCAGTCCCCCCACTTATAATAAAAATATATATTTTAAATAATATTGTATATTATTTACTATGTTTTGTAAATCATATCTAATAACCGTAGCAATAAATTATTAAAGTTATATTATATAAAAAATATATCGTATTAAGAAAACAAAAATAATCTTATCCAACCTGAACGTCAACTACAAATTATACTTATGCAGATAAAATAGAAAAATACAATGGAACTGATGCATTTTGTGTGAAAATTTGTAATATTTACTGGTAAATTCATAGGTTAATTAGCGCCTAAGTTTGCCTGTCATGCACTTTGCCAAAGCTTTTCGTCATTAGTGGTGGTTTTATGGTGTTGGCCAGTACTCCACCTTGTCAAACATAGATATTTTATTCTTAAATCAATGGGGAGAAACCAGTATCAGATCAATATTATATATCGAACTCCATCCATTATTAATAATAACTAATTACCCGGTTTACTTGTTTAACCGGCACACTTCAACCACATATTGTTTTAATTTTGTACGAATGATATACGTGCCCTAAATTTACAATATATACATTTTCTCGCCTAAAACTAAAAGTCTCACGTACTTTTCATCACATTTTGTACCGATTTTAATTGGTTTGGTGGGGACGGAAAGCATAAATAAGAGAGCATTATTGGCGTTAGGTCTTCTACCCGGAGATTCCCTTGAAGATGCAGGCAGATACTTGAAGAAGGTAAACATCACCGGCAACTATCCTCGCATTAAATTAAAAAAAAAAATCACGGCAGCTGTCCTCGCAATAAACTAAATAAAAATCATGGCGACGTGTGTAAGCCAAGCGTATGACGTCAGTTCGCTGAATGAATATTAATGTCTCGCTAATAATGAATCATGAGATGATCACTTGGAACACGTGTAATGAGGTGGCTCGATCGATCTCATGGTTAGGCCATCCCAAACCCAACAAACCCTCCATATCATATAGTGTCCATAGCATTTAATACATTGCCACATAAACAAAAATATGATGTGGCAAGAGAGTTAATGAGGAGAGAGATAAAAAAAATAAAGAAACCATTTCTCATGCAAGAAATCATGTCTACACAAGAACTAAGAATGAAAACAAGATGAGATGGATAAAATGAGAGAGAATATAGATGATTGGATGAGAATTTAATTCGAAGTCACCATCCATTAGATAGATAGTTTCTATGCATAGTGTCTATATGACATGGTATGTATAGAAATTACTAGATGGTTTCTGGGTTGGGGATGGCCTCATGGAGAGCAAATGGAACCATGGGCGCCCTTCAGCAGTTTGAATTTCTTTCCGGCCATATATATGGCCGGCATGATTTTATTTGATTATTTACTACTTTCTTCGTTCTAAGAAAAAAATTAATTAACATATATATATATATGTAATTACTATTTTTTATGAGATGGAAGTTGTACTGGTGTAGCCATGATATGAAACTCATATAAATTATATTCAACTATAACGTCGTAACCAATGGTCCTAAGCACACGGGCTGACTATATATGTCTGTCTGTACTAATCAATGTGAATGCTTCTACAGAGACAAAATATTTCCGACTTTAATTTTCATGGAATAGTTTGAGACTACTTCTCGAACGGCCCTATATCAAATCGCCTTGTTTGGTTAACACTGCTAGAATTATAAACAAGGTCTACTGTGAAACTAAATAGAAAACATCAACGACATATGGTTTCTACGATGGATTATATGCAGATATAAAATCAATTGCCGACGGTTTGTACAATGGATTATATGGAGATATTATGTCTAATATTAATTCATTGGAGATGTTTAGATTTAATTATATATATTTTTTTAGGGGAAGCACTTTAGGGGAAGCCCCTGTTAATGATATGCCCTAGAGGCAATCATAGAGATGATTGTATCACATACTATATTTACATATTTATCCGATATTGTTCCTTGAAATAGATAACTCCTTATTGGTTAATGAATATGTGATTCTTTCATGAGACTCTTTATGTTGTTTGTTACTATTTCTAAAGGATCCCTGATCAAATATCATATGTGGAACAAATATGTTTATATGATCAACACATGTATTAATTGATGATCATGTCTCATGGATCATGGTATAGAGATACCAAATTAATAATGTGGACACATGTTGGTGAACATGTTGTTGGATAGACCCAACATGAGACACTGCAGTAGCCATATGTGTTGTGTCATCAGTGATCTCATTGAGTGTTGGTGTTGAATCCTTAGACCTGAGATTATCATGGTTCTCAACATGTGTAATAGCTTACTTAGGGACTGCTAAACGCTACTCCGTAATTGCGTAGTAATAAAAGTAGTTTTTGGGTATACTATGAAACATGTAGTGGGATATGAATAATCAAGATTGGATTTGCCCCTCCTATGGAGAGATATCTCTGGGCCCCTCGATGTTGTAGATTATGGAAGTGCATGGCCATGCCAAAGGTGATTGAGGAGTCAATCACAAGTTATATAATCTATCAACAGGTTCGAGTGAATGATTGAGCTATTAGAGGATGGCACATATCTAGCCTTGAGCTTAATCGATATCGTGAGGCAAAGGGGTTCATACAAGTATACACTAGAGGTTCAGCCGATATGATTTTTATGTATGCCCGGTGGGTCAATACGTTCTGCTAGAGGCCGCTGTTGACGCGTGGACCGAAAAGGAGTTTTCGGGTTACAGCCGAGTATATATGAACCTACAGGGTCGCACGCTTAATGGGCCGGAATAAGGGGATTGGATAGAGATCCAATATGAGCTTAATTCGGATAGAGATCCGAATAGGAGTCCTACGGGCCTTGGAGGCCCGAGTGATGGATCCTATATATTCGTGAGGGGTGTGACCGGCAGAGGCATTGCATCACATGAGAAACCCTAGCCGTCACTTCCCTCCCCAAGCAAAACCCTAGCCGTGGGCGGGTGCTAGCACATCTGTGCGTGCCGTTCCATCCCTGTACGTGTGGATACCGGTAGAGGCGCCACTGGTTTGCGGTGCTGATCGGCATGGGAGTACGGCGAGGAGAACGCACGAGGAGGAGAAGGTCGAGCCGGTGCGATCAACTACTTCCTCTACATTGACGCGTGCTACTTCGCGAGAGTTCCTTCGACTTCTCAGCGTCTTCTTCCGCTGCACAGCGCGTCGAGTGGTAATGATATATGATCTAATACTTGCATGGTTCCTGGTTTACGTGATAGAAAATTTTGATTTATAATATCGTAGCCTACACGTATCCCAACAACCCCTACAGTAATTACTTTATTGATAAATAAAAATTACAAGAGGTATTGTGTGGGACATCTCTCTCGGCTTTGAAGAAATGTTACATCAGGCAATGACTTCTTATAGATCTACACATTTTATTGAGAAAATACTTTATGCAGCATGGAACATTTGGAATAAAAGGAACTCTAATTTTTCAGAATATACCACCTTCAGTTTCTTTTTGGAAAGCTCTCTTTAAAGATT